ACAGGAACCTGGTTGTGGGAGTAGCTGACGGCATAAGTGATGCCTGGAGCCCACTTGCAACCTGGGCCCTTAGTGGGGTGGGCTGGGGCCTGGGCTGGCGGTTCAGATGCTCTTGGGAAAGCAGTGGGCAGCTTTTCCATTGGACTCTGAGAAGGAGGAGGAGGGATGTCCTTACAGAAAAGTGCCCCACTCTATAACAGATGGGCAGAGCTGGGATCCCCAAGGGGCCTGGTTCCAGCGGGCATCCAGCACATTGCTATTCTGAGGACAGCCACCTGCCTGAGGCCATCATATGAATGCCAGGGGATTCCTAGTATGAGGGCGGCTTGCCTCTTCCCTGTGCAACTGTTTCCAGTTTCACTTCCCTGGGGATTTAAAACTAGAATGATAGAGTCCCCAGAGGGCCTTGACTGGAGAAAGTCAAGTGGCATTGTTTCAGTTTTCTCTTCCTTAAGCCCTTCTGGTTCATTCCTTTGCCGCTGGAGCCTGGCTCCGCAGGGGCTGGGGTAGTGACCCTTCCCAGCACTCATGCCTATGTCCTGCATGGCGTACCAACAGCAACCGGCAGCCTGGGCAGCTTGGATTTCTTCCCTCATGGCTCTGGAGCTGGAAGTTCAAGGTGTGGGCCAGGAGATTTCTCCTTGGCTCTAGACTGTGTTGTCTCCCTGGATCCTCACAAGGATGCTCCTTTGTGCTTGTCAGTGTCAAAATCTGTTCCTAGATTTTGAGATACGGTGCTGCTGTTGGATGCGGACCACTCTGGCTGCCTCCTGTCTATTTAGTTAACTCTTGAAGGACCTTGTCTCCAAACAGTCATAGTCTCAGGCTCTGAGAGTTAGGGCTTCAGGAGACAGATCTGGATGGAGCCTGGTTCAGTCTGTAACTGCCTGAGGAGGGAGGAAGCCGGTGCAGAGCTGTGGGGGACCAGCCCCCACACTTATTTACCCCAGGGACTCTTGAGGAATGAGGGAGAAGAGACTTAGAAATGGTGAGGAGAGAAACAGAGAGAAAACACAGGATGGACTCGGGTGGGCCTGGATCCTTATCCACCAGCCCAGAACTTTATTCCAGAGGTCTATTTATAACAACGCCAAGGGGTGGAGCAAAAGACCTCCCCCTTGCTGGTTACGGTCACCTGGTACCCAGGATCGTGGTCCAATCAACCTCCCGTGCAGTCCTGCTGGGTCCAGCCACGAGAAAACCTAGTGGGCTCCAACAGAGCCAGACCTTGGGTTCTAGACCAGCACAAACCAGGGGCCCAGGCACTGAGGGGACAAGTGAGAGATCTGCTCAGGGTGTGGTGTGCTAGCCTTCTTCTGGACACTAATCCGTGAGGTCTCCTGCTTCAGAATCAGAGGTTTGGAGAGGTGAGGCCGTATCCAGCCTGGTCTACATGGACCCTGTCTCAAAAAAAAATTTAAGCACTAGAGATAACTTTAATAATACAGAGAACTGTGGAGCAGAGGCAGGCTGAAGAGATGGCTCAGTGGTTAAGAGCACTTGCTGCTCTTGCAGAGGACCTGGGTTTGGTTCCTAGCACCCACATGGCAGCTCATAGCTGCCTGGAACTCCAATTCTGAAGGATATGATACCCTCTTCTGGCCTCCATGTGATATACATGCATACGTGCAGGCAAAACACCCGTATCCATGAAATAAATAAATCTGTAAAACATAAAGCTTAAAGGCGTTATTAGCCCAGAATCGAAGCAGAGATGGCGCTTTGTCGGGGCAGACGGGAAGCTGAGTGTTCAGCCGAGAGGTTGATGAGGAGAACGGATCAGAAAGAAAGGTGAGCATCCAAGTATCATGGGAACACCAGTGCTTCGTTGAGCATAGAAGTCCCTTAGTCGTGGTCTGGTGAAGTTACAGTCTGTTTCTTCAGATAGGGTCTCACTATGTAGCCCAGGCTGACTTCAGACTCCTGGTAATCCCCCTGCTTCAGCCTCCCTAGTACTGGGGTTACAGGCCTAGCTTTCACTTTCCTCTTAGATGTTACAGAAAATGAAGGTTATGAGGCTGCTTTGTGTGATGGTATCGTTCTTAATTCCTGAGCGTAGCTGCTCTGGCATAGCGGGGCTCCCCAAAAGCAACCCTGGGGAGTCCATTGGCTGTATGGCCTTGATTTATACGCGGTATAGAAATATAAATACATGTTTGTGCTTGTGTGTCTTTTAAAATTACACTTATTTATTTTTGAGGGGTGGGCACGAATGCACCATGGCACACATGTGGAGGTCAGAGGACAACTTGTGGGAGTCAGTCTGTCCTTCCACCACGTGGGTCCCAGGGATGGAACTCAGGTCATCAGGCTGAGTGGCAAGTGCCTTTATCCACTAAGCCGTCCCAGCAGCCCCAGGTACTGTATACTTTAGTATCACTTACAGGCTGTTGTTCTGGCTGTCCTCTGAGCCCACTTATCCCAGCCCGCCCTGATGGCTGTTCCCTTGTGAGGAGGTAGAGAGGTCACAAGACCCTCACCTGAGTGTCCAGCCGCTTCCTGCCACCTGTTGTATGCACCTCTGACTTACTTACACATGTCCTTGGGGAGGGCCTAGAATATGTAGGCTCAGAGTATATAGGAAGACTAAGGGGGGAGGGGCTAGGACATTTGGCCCAGAGTGTAAAGGGTGGGAGGCTTTCCATCTAGATGGCCCTGGGGAAGTCCTCATCCCTGCTGGCTGAAGGAAAGGCTTTATGATGCAGCCCTTTTGTGAGGAGTACCCACACCCCTGTAAGTAACCCCTCACCTATGATCTGTAAGGAAGCCTCGAAAATTCATTCGACTCTCCAGAGGGAGCTTTGGCAGAATCATTTCTCAGTTTGGGACCCCGCCCCAAGGAATTTCAGCTAGAGCTGAAGGCTTTACTTCCTTCTATCAGTGGTATGTACGATGAATGTATGCATGTGTGTGTATACATGTGCACACACTATACACATCTACCTGCATTCTTCTGATGGACATTAAAACATTACAGCAGGATGAGGTCCCGCCTCGGAGCCCAGGTTGGCCTCCGGAGTGTCTCCCTTCCAAGTGCTGGGATTACAGGCATGCGCTGCCTTGCCTGCCTCTAATCACAGACTTCACGGCAGCTGGCACATGTGTGGCTGCCTGGGCTTGTGTGAGCTGCATGAATGCTCATCTGGTTTTCCTCAGATGGTGCCATCATCACCCCCACCCTGTGAGAACGCTGGGCTGGCGTGCTGAAGCTAAGCGACCTGCCCAAGTGGCGACAGAGTGATAATTGGGACCCAACCCACTGCATCAAAGTCAGAGTCCCAATCCTGGGTCACCTCCATAAGAGGTGTCCCTCCGATAAGTTGTTTTGGAAGGAGACTGGGCAGGGATTCTGGAGACTGGGCAGGGATTCTTGGAAAGGGGACTTGGGACTTGGGCCTAATTCCAGTTGTGTTGTGGTGGGTGCATTCTCCAAATGGGGGAGCAGGACAGTGTCTCCAGCGGTGGGCCACCTACGAGATGTTCTAGAGGGTCACTTTGACCCTTGTCAACCTACACTCCCTCCACATAAGAAAGGAGGCCTCGCCGGGCGGCGGTGGCGCATGCCTTTAATCCCAGCACTCTACAGAGCGAGATCCAGGGCAGGCACCAAAACTACACAGAGAAACCTATCTCGGAAAAAGAAGAAAGAGAAGGAGAGAGAGAGAGAGAGAGAGAGAGAGAGAGAGAGAGAGAGAGAGAGAGAGGGAGAGAGAGAGAGAGAGAGAGAGAGGGAGGGAGGGAGAGAGGGAGGAAGGAAGGAAGGAAGGCCCTAGGACCAAGGGGATTTGCCTACACCTAACCTATGATCTAGACTCTGGATTCTCCCAACTCCTGCAACCCCAAGCTCTCCCAGGTTGCCAGGGCACTGACTGAGGGTGTGAACGTTGAAGCCTAGACATGCACACTGATGTTTGCATACTGGTGCCCACACCCCTCTGGGTGTAGGGAGAGAAGCCAGGCTTGTAAGAGCTGGATCTGTCTGGCCACACCCCTCTCTGAGGAGCACTGAACCTTGATTTTTTAATTTTTTAATTTTTCAGTATGAGTGTTTTGTTTTTCAATATGCATGTATGTCTGCTTACCACATGCATGCCAGAAGAGGGCACTGGATCCCCTGAAACTGGGGTTAGCAATCTGCAAACACCAGCATTTGTGTTTTGGCCTAAGTACTCACAACCTCAGTCAGTCCCCTGGCAACCTGGGGGGCTCTTGGGGTACAGGAGTTGGGAGTGGATTCTCTGGGTCTGGATGGGAAATTATAGGCTATGGATAGGCAAATCCCCTGGGCCCCAGATTGTTGTGAGTTATCATGTGGGTGCTTAGAATCAAACCTGGGTCTTCTGGAAGAGCAGCTAGTGATTGATTGATTGATTGATTGATTGATTATATATACAGTGTTCTGTCTGCATGTATGCCTACTCACCAGAGGAGGGCATCAGAGCTCATTACGGATGGTTGTGAGCCACTGTGTGGGTTGCTGGGAATTGAACTCAGGTCCTCTGGAAGAGCAGCCAGCAACCAGTGCTCTTAACCTCTAAGCCATCTCTCCAGCCCACAGCCAGGGATCTTGATCTCTGAGTTGTGTCATTTGGGAGATTGTTTTGAGAGAGTCTCATTCTGTAGCCCAGGCTAGCATCTCACTGTGTAGTCCAGGGTGGCCTAGAACTCACAGTGATCTGTCTGCCTCCACCTCCCAAGCGCTGAGGTTACAGGCATCTACTATCATGCCCAGTTTCTGTGGCACTAGAGTTTGAGCCGAGGGCTTCATTCATGCAATCACTCTCCTGACCAAGCCACAAAGTCCTGAAATTCTAAATTAGAGCAGGCTCCCCCATGCCCTTCCTGCCCTCCCTCGATTTACAGGAACACACTATCTGATGCTGGTTTGGGGAGCATTGCCCTCTGCAGAGAGGACCCCAGTCAGTCATTTTTTGCCCGTGACAGCACTGCAGGGTATTATGAGCTAACCTCGGCACCTCTCTTTTCATGTTATTCTTCAGCTGGGGTGTCCCTCTGGCCATCACAGTGGCTGCTGTCTCTCTAAAGAAGATAGGCTACGATGCTTCAGATGTGTCCGTGGGCTGGTGCTGGATCAACCTGGAGGCTGAGGACCGTGTCCTGTGGATGCTGCTGACTGGGAAGCTGTGGGAGATGCTGGCTTATGTCTTACTGCCTCTGCTTTACCTTCTGGTCAGGAAACACATCAACAGGGCGGTAGGTGTCTGATGTGCTGGCCCTTCAGGGACAGGCTGGTTCTCTGAAGGACCAAACTAGTGCCAGGCCATAGGGACTGTGTGCTTCGACTGAATATGGGATCGTGAATAGACTTGTTGGCTAAGTAGTCCTGGTATATATAGGTGAGGGGACTCAGTGGTAGAGTAGCTGGACCACAGAGCTACATTCTCCACTGCGGTCCTGCACTGCCCCCGTGTGGCCAGCCCCAATATTACACTAAGGAATTTCAAAGTCAAGGATGATGGCCACAGAAAACTCACCTCCCCTTGGTAGTCAAAATTGTGTCCCAAGTGTCAGGCTTTTCAGGAGATCATAAGTCATTAGGGCTATCCAAAAAGAGAGGCTGGTCCTCAGAGAGGTGAAGCCTAAGCAATTATGGTCAAAGATAAACCAATCAGTGGCTGAAGCAGTCACAGCTTTCCCCTGAATTCAGACTCCAATCGGTGAGAATCCCATTTCCTTTCGTTTGTTTATGTCCTTTTTTTTTTTTTTTTTTTTTTTTGAGACAGCGTCTTGCTTTGTTTTGTTGTTGTTGAGATGCAGGTCACATGTAGTTCAGGCTGGCCTGGAACTCACTAAAGAGTTCAGGATAACGGTAAACTTCTGATCTTCCTGCCTCCACCTCTCCAGTACTAGGATTAAAGGTCTGCACCAGGCCAGTTTCTGCAGTGCTGGGGATCGAACCCAGGGCTTCATATGTGCTGAATGAGTGTTCTATCAAATGGCCAACCTCTTTGAATGCTCTTCTCACTTCCCACCAACCTGGGAAGATGGAGGCGCTTCTGGAGAGTGAAGCCGTCTCCCTCCAATTCTACCAGACTCCACCCTGGTGTGTGTACCTTTTGTCCTTTCTAGAGCAGGGCAGGAGCCCCCTGCTTGCCAGAGTGGCTCCTGCATGTGACAATTAACTCTTGCAACTTGGCAAGGGTTTTCAGAAAAGAAAAGGAATGAAGTGGGCAGGGAGGTGAGAACGTAGTCTTTGCTGCCTGGAGATGGGGGAGAGCGGAAGATAAATGGGAAGGTGAGCTTGGTTCTGAGGAGCAGCCCAACTGGTCCAGCTTCCCCAAGCTGCACCACTTCCTTTGAACTCTCTACCCTGCCCCTCCCCATCTGTGTGAGGCAGACCTTAGCTCCCCGGGCTGCTGTCACAGACCTTCAGGGGAGGAGGAGGTGGGTCCTTTAATAAGGTGAGCTGTCGAAGCTTGACACTCAGATGCCAGGCCTATGGTTATTCCCTCACCAGCTTCAGTGCCCTAAACACATGACCAGGCTCAAACCGACACCTCTCATTGGCCAGTTCAATCAGCTTTACAAATTTGATTGTGATTTGAAACTGAGCATCCTTCCCTGCTATGACAAACTTTCCTCAGGAATGCAAGCGCCAAGGCTGGCTCCTTCCTTTCCTCCACCCCTTCTGTGGGCAAGCCAGCACCTAGTCTTGCATTGGGCAGGGAGGAGGCGGGGGGTGGGGGATGGCAGCAGTAAGCTGAGCAACAAGGGTGAGTGATGTCGGGGGGTGGAGGTCGGGAAGAACCACAGAAAACAGACAGCAGTCCATGACTGGAATGGGCTCAGGGCTATTTGCAAAATGGCTGCTTGTAAGCTTCATCCAGAACGTGACCCTGAGTAAGGACCTGAAGGTGAGGGAGCTGCAAGTGACTGAGTGTGCTTCTCCAGATACAAGGACCAGCTAAGACCTGGGGTTGGAGGAGAGCGATGTGGCCGGAAGAGAGAGCAAGGGAGAGAACAGGATTGAGGTCAGAACTGAGCCGGGGCTCACCTGATGGGACAGCGTAAGGAAGAGTTGAAAAGGAACCACCAAGAGCTCTGAGTAGAGGACTTGCCAAACCTGCTCAGACCCTCTGAGAACTCGCCTCCTGAATTGGGGATGGCCTGGGGGCGGGGGGACCAAGCAGACAAGATGATCATACTATGGCAGTGGGTCCAAGTATCCAGTTTCCGGTGGGGCCTTTAGGACTTGCCTGTAGGTTAGGTGTGACTGGGGAAGAGAAGACAAAAAGATGATGCCACGTGGTGACCGGAAGGATGAAGTGTCATTGAGCTAAGAGGAATGTGCAGTGGGCCTAAGGGTTGAGATGACTTACTCATCCCGGGCAGGGTTTCTGACATCTCTGAGACACTCCTGTGGCGATGTGAAGGAAGTAGGCAGGGGATCCGACCTGGGAGTTGGAGGTTGGGGCATAACTCCTGGTCTGATAGACTCCAGGCCTCAGTGTCCAAGTGGAAAAGGCAACAGTACCCACTCTTGCTCTTCCGGGCTGGTGTGGGCATGTGGGTGTGCGGACTTGTGGACGTGTGAGTGTGTGGGCCTGTGGGCATGTGGACGTGCAGACCTGTGAGGGTGTGGGCATGTGCACGTGTGGGTATGTGGGCATGTGGACGTGTGGATCTGTGGACATGTGGGCGTGTGGACCTGTGGACGTGTGGACGTGTGGGCGTGTGGGCGTGTGTGCGTGTGGACGTGCATGGGTGGTTGTGGGAAGAGGCCCCCCTGGCTCAGGCCTTTGCTTTCTAACTTTCACACAGCACCAGGCGCTCTCGGAGTACCGGCCCATCTGGGAGGGGCGCCAGCTGCAGCGGGGCTCCTCTGCCATGGCTGATAAGAAACTGATCCTGATTCCCCTCATATTCATCTGCCTCCGGGTCTGGAGCACCGTGCGCTTCGTCCTGACCCTCTGTGGCTCCCCAGCTGTGCAGTCTCCAGTGCTGGTTGTTCTGCATGTATGTCTGTCCGTGGGCCCTGCTGCCCCACAGTGGCATGGCCAGATCCCCTCCCTACACACTGATGATCTCAGGTCCCAGGGTGTTGGCCAGGATGGGCCTATGGGAAACAGAATAGCTCAGTGTCCTTTCCCTGTCCCCAAGCAAGCGTGGCTTTGCGGGGAGGGATGGGGAGAAATCTTGTGTGGCTGTTCTCAGCAACCTAGAGAAGCTCTGGTAGAGTTGACTGATCCTGGATCCTTCTCACTGCAGAAGGCCTAAATGCAGGTCTGGCTAGGTGGCCAGTTCAGGCCTGTCCAGAACTCTGCTTTAAGGCCACCTGTCTGCGCTCATCCCATGACAGCTTAGGGGCAGGGACAGGAAAGGTCATGGGATTCATAGCAGTCCACCGACTCCCCTTGATTGTGTTTCTAAGATACCCCCAACCCTGTGCTTATGCCTCTCCCCCTCCCCAGGGCATCGGGAACACCTTCCAGGGAGGGGCCAACTGCATCATGTTCGTCCTCTGCACCCGCGCAGTCCGCACGAGGCTCTTCTCCCTCTTCTGTTGCCGCTGTTATTCTCGGCCCTCGACCCAGAATCCCCCTGGAGCTCCTGCTCCCCCCAGGAAGAGAGAATCTCAGGAATCCGGACTGATCCCAGAAGTTCCCAGCACTTGAGTGGTTGACCTTCCTCATTGCTCGCACCGGCACCGCCTTCCTGGTTCGGAGACAGGGTCATGCGCACTGGAAGCCTCAACTGGTGAAGCTCGGACCCCCGTGAAGGAACGGCCATCAGTGCAGCCTCTTCTACCTCCTCTTCTCAGGCAGGCCGTGGACACCCGCGTCCTGGTTCCGTGTCCTGGTTCAGTGGGGTTTATTTGTGGAAGCCCAAAGATGTGGGATTCGGGACGCCAGCAATGCAGGATTCTGTCAGGGCACTGGTTCTCAGTGTCCTGCGGCCACCAGCACTGTTTACTGTCTGAGGGACTCAGATCTATGGACCTCTCCCAGAGGTGACTGAATAATGTGTTATGGATTACAGAGATGCGTCTACCCAGACATCACAGAGTGGGGTCCAGGTTTGCCAGGGGACTGAGATTCCCTGGAGAGCCTGGAGTAGTTAGAGCTGAACAGCAGAAGTTAAACCAGGTCCTCAGTCCACTGAGGTCACAGGAGACTCCTTCATGGCTCCAAACCACCCAGGCACACACTCATGGGCATCTCCCGGGTTCTCTGCTAGGGTCATCGGCCCTCAATATTTATTGCATTGAATTTCAGCACAGGCCAGAGTCCAGAGTCCAGAGTCCTGCCCGTTAGTCAATCACATAACATCCAGGTCCCTTCCTGTACCAGGACAGAAGGCAGCTCAGCTCCAGTCCCTAAGGACGACACTATTTCACTCACCCTGTTCTCAGTGATTCATGTAGGGGTGAGTTGGGAGGGTGTCTGGCTTTGTTTAGTTGTATTTTGTTTGTTTTGTTTTGTTTTTTGTAGGAAAGGTGATCGGAGAGTTGGCAAATGGTCCAAATACTGATTCCTCCCGAAGGGAAGTGTTTTGAGATTCAGCCTTGGGCTGGAATGTAGCTCGGTGGTAGTTGCCAGGTTGGTCCCTGCACCAAAAATATTTTAAGAGCCTTTTTTTTTGGTAGTTGTTTGTGGCATATGGAAAGAGGATTCTGAGATGATTACATTTATTTTATTGTTTGAGACAGGATCTCATTATGTAGCCCTGGCTGGCCTGGAACTTGCTATGTAGACCAGGCTGGCTCTAACTCACAGAGATCCACTTGCCTCTGCCTCCCAATAATTACATCTTTAAAAAATGTTTTGTTTTGTGCTCTCTGTACTAGGGCCTTGTGTCCGTTAGGCAAGTGGTCTGCCTCTGGGTTCTACCCAAGCCTTCCTTTTATTTTTTGTTTTGAGACAGAGTTGCCTAAGACTGGCCTTGAACCCCTGTCAGCCAGGCTGGTCTTGAACTTGCGATTTCCTACCTCAACCTCCCAGGAAGCTAGGACTACAGCCCTGGGCCACCATGCCCAACCAGAGAAGAGCATAAGTGAGCTGTGTGTCCCTTTCTACTCAGTGGCTCTTCCAACGACACTTCCTGGCTTCCGAGAGCACTCAGAACGGGAAGTGTGACCGCCACCTTGCGGCGGGTCGAGGAAATGTTCTATACCTGTAGGTAGTGCCCTTGGATTCTGTCAGTACCCCACGAAGCTGAGAGGATCACAGAGCATAGTAAAATGGCTCAGGGTGAGAGCAAAGCCACACTGAGCCATCGATTCCCATTTTGCTCTCAAAACGACATCTCTCTCAGGAAAGGAATAGTCACTCAGAGGACTGTGGCTATACACTCCTTTTCTTATTTCCCTGGAAAGCATTTCTTTAGGAAAATCTGCAAGAGGTGGGCTTCCTCTTGGGAGTTAAAGACAGCTCCTGGGCAGGGGGCTGTCTGTTTACAGAACATGCTGAGGTCCTGTGAGGATAGTACAGCCAATTTGTGCACTGTCAGTGTGCTGCCAAGCATGATCCCCTGGCTTCCAAAATGGAACCGAAATTCGAGGAATTTGTTTCCTGCAGAGGAGAAAATGATCTACAAAGTACCACAGAGGAAATGATGTTGGAATAAACCCAGCTGGGCAGGGCATTGTGGAGCCCTGGCTGTCTGAGACCTTGTTCAGAAAAAGCCTGCAGAGGGAGTCGGGGGCCTTAGAAAGCCCTAGCTGGAGCCCGGGGCTCACTCAAGCTCTCTCTTTGATGACTGATGCCAGGGTGGCTGTCTGTAAAACCCTCCACCAAGTCGACACTGGCTCCTTCCATCTCTCTCCCACACTGCCCTGTCACTGCCGGTGAATGGTGGTGACCCCAGGCTCGGTGCCTTGCCTCCAGCCCTGTGAGCTCACAGACATCAACCTTAGTGGGTCTGGTAGGTGCTCGGAGTTCAGAACCGAAGACAAAAGGAAGGTGAGTGGGTCCCCAGTGCCAGGAGAAGGCACTAGAGGCTGCCAGCTCCCATGATGCCTTGCTGAGCCTGGAGGCTTTCTATCTCTATTAGTTAATGTTATTCATATTTATCTGCATCTGCCCTCAGTCACCCAAATGTGACCTCAGCCTTAACGGGTGCTACAGCCCTTGCCATGTCCCCCCATCACCCTTCTTCAGCACTTTATGACTCTCGTTCCCCTGGTCAGTTGCCAGCTGCTTCCTGCCTCTGTCCATCTGAGGCTTTTTTTTTTTTGGCGATATGTATACATGTCACCAAATATGTTTGTATATATATGTATATACATATATATTTTGCAGTATATATGTATATATCTCAATATATACATACTATATATACAAAAATATATACATATATTTTGCGATATGTATATATGCATATTGCAAAAATGTTTATGTGTGTATATACATATATATATTTGCCCTATATATGTATATGTATATACCACCATATATACATACAATATATACATATATTTTTTGCAATGTGTGTATATGTATGTCTATATAATTTTTGGAGATACCAGGGGATTAAACCTAGGCCTTTGTGCATACTAGACAAGTGCTCTAGTATTTCGCTATTTCCCCAGTCCTTTTATTTTATTTTTTGAGTTTTGAAGCAAGGGGTTCTCACTGGTTGTCCAGGCAGGCCTTGAACTTGGGATCCTCCCGTCTCAGTTTCACTGTTTCTGGAATTGCAGGCCTATGCCACCAAACCCAGCCAACTTCCTGAAGCCTTTTAGTTCGTTCTTCCTGTCTCCCTCTCTCTTAAAAGAATAATAAAGATTATATGTGTCCGAAGCTTAGAGTGCAAATGAAACCCTTCATTTGTCTTTACTTTGTTTTTATGTGTGTGAATGCTTTTGTGTATGTAAATGCACACATGTGTGCAGTACCCAGAAGGGAGGCTGACCCCAGAAACTGGGGTTACAGGTGGTTGTGAGCAGTAGGTAGAGGGAGCTGAAGCAGGGTTCTCTGCAAACACAGCAAATGCTCCTACCTGCTGAGCCGTCTCTCGGGCCCTTCTCATATGTTTTAATAAACTCACAGTTGTGGCGTAATTAAGTCTAGCATGAGATTGTTTGGAAGCATGATGCTAACCCTGACTGGGTGAAAGCCCAAACTCTTGCTGTTTTAAATTAAATGAATTGATTATTTTTTTCCTTTGTGTTTGCTAAACTGATTCCCACTGATGTGGGGAGGGGTGGGTGGCCTGAGGTGTGGTGGCTGAGGCCTGGAGAACCCTTTCAATGTATGTCGTCACTGGCCATGCTTGGGCTTCATGGACACTTGAAAAGGTGCAGGTTCACGTTTTGATCGGCTGCAGACCCACCCTCTTGTCTAGCTTCTGTCCTTCAGTCCTGGGCAAGTTGTGCTCTGTAATCCTGGATTCACCCACCGCCCTCTTCCATCCATCAGAACCTTCCACCTTGGGTAGTTGGTTCTCATACACACTGTGTTTCCCACCCTCTCTGACACTCCACAGCCCTCTATGACCCTCTCTGGCTCTCCATGACCCCCCACAGCCCTCCCTGACCCTCCTGACCCTCCATGACCCTCAGTGACCCTCCGCTCTTCACTGACCGCCATGCCTCTCTCCCTTTCTGTCCATTCCTCCCTCCTGACCTGACTGCCAACCTCATTCTGAATGCCACCTCCTGTCTTCTTTTCCTGCTCAGGAGGTCTTCTGCAGCACCCAACTCCATCTAGACCATGAGTTCGAACCTCAGCTTCTCATTGCTGGGATTGTGGGGGGTCAGCCATGCAGGGTCCACACATGCATCACCTGGCTGGGGGGGGGGGTCCAGCCATGCAGGGTCCACACATGCAGCCCCTGGCTGTGGGGGGTCAGCCATGCAGGGTCCACACATGCAGCCCTTGGCTATGGGGGGGTCAGTCATGCAGGGTCCACACATGCAGCCCCTGGCTGTGGGGGTCAGCCATGCAGGGTCCACACATCCAGCCCCTGGCTGTGGGGGTCAGCCATGCAGGGTCCACACATCCAGCCCCTGGCTGTGGGGGGGTCAGCCATGCAGGGTCCACACATCCAGCCCCTGGCTGTGGGGGGTCAGCCATTCAGGGTCTACACATCCAGCCCCTGGCTGTGGGGGGTCAGCCATTCAGGGTCCACACATCTAGCTCCTGGCTGTGGCATTCCAGGCTCCCTGACCTGGTGCTTTTTCCCTGTCTCCCAAGCTCTCTCTAACCTTCTCCCTGCAGAAAATGCAGCTTGCTGCTCTTCCCTGCTGCACATGTCCCTGTGCTTGGTGGCCTTTTGCTGCCCTTGTCCGATGAACACCTTACAGGATGACCTCTTGTTCTCACGGATTCCCCAGCAGAGCTCTACATACTCCACTTTCTTCTGGAGCTGTGTTCCAGGGGCCAGCCTGGCATGCATCTGGGTCCTGGTGTCATTTCTGTGGCTGTAATAAAATACCGTGACAAAAAGCAACTTAGGGGCCAAGGCTGGTGGCACACCCCTTTAATCCCAGCATCTGGGTCTTCAAGACCAGCCTAGTCTACACAGAGAGTTCCAGGCAAGCCATGGCAACATAGTGTCTCAAAAACACAACAAAAACAAAACCAAACAAACAAAAACCCAATAGCAAAAAGCAACATAGAAAAAAGGTTTATTTTAACTTATAAATTCAGGTCACACATAGTCCATCATTTCAGGAAAGTCACAGCTGCAGAAACTCAAACCAGCTGCTTGTATCACATCCACAGAAGAGAACAGAGCGATGGCTACAAGCATGCTTAATAATCTTAGACAGTCCGGGGCCCAAACCAGAGAATGGCACTGCTCCCCTTCAGGCTGGGGCTTCCTACGTCTTTTAAGGCAAGCAAGGTAATTCCCCACAGACATGCTGTCTCAGTGAGCAAAGTGCTTGCTGAGTGATTATGAGAGTTCAAGTCCCGGCACCCACTGAAAAAGTAAAGCGTGATGTCGTGTGTCTATAATCCCAGCACTAGGGAGGCAGAGAGAGGACCCCCGGGCCTTACTGGACAGCCAGTCTAATCATCGAGGCCCAGGTCCCAGTGAGAGACCCTCAAAAGAAGGTGGATGGTACTGGAGGAACAACACCTGATGTTATCCTTGGCCCCCACATCATACACATGCACCCACGTACACACATTCACCCTCGCAAGGAGCACCCACGTGTGCTCACGCATATATGCTTGTGCACACACATATATATGCATATGCACACATACAAAGAAAGAAGAAACTGATGGAAATGAGAAGCAGGCAAGGGCTGGAGGTGTGTCTCAGCATAGAGTATTTTCCTTGAGTGCACGTTTACCCGCTAAAAAGGAAAAGAGAAAAGAGGGTACGTAAGCCTCCAGGCTCTGGAGAGGGACTAGATTCCAAGCACAGCCTCCCTCCTGCTAATAATTATATCACTGGGTGTCAACGCTGGCCTCCCAAGTTCAGTTGTCGTAACTAGGTATCAATGAGACCAAAATGACCCCAGCACGTCACACAAAGACACCTGGAGAAAGCCTGTGACCCAGGATGTCACCTCCACTGCTAGTCAGCCTTGAAGCCATCCTAAAGATCCCAGTTCCTGTCTGACCCTACACAGAAGACATCACAGTTGAGAGCCCTGGCACAGCCACGGTCATCAGTGATGACCCCAAAAGAGAGAACTTTTTTTTCTTCTGGGACAAGGTCTCACTTTGTAGCTCTGGTGTCCTAGAACTCATTCTGTAGACCAGGCTGGCCTTGAACTCATAGAGATGCGCTTGCCTCTGCCTCCCGAGTGCTGGGATTGAAGACACCACCACAACTGGCTGATTTTAAAATGTTTTATTTATGTATGCGTGTTTTGCCTGCTTGTGTGTCCTTGTGCATGCCCAGCACTCTTGGAGGTCAGAAGAGGGGTCAGATCCCTGGAATTGGAGTTACCGGAAGTTGTGAGTCACCATGTGGGTGCTCGGAACTGAACCTGGGTCCCCTGGAAGAGCAGCCAGTGCTCTAACCTTTGAGCCATCTCCCCAGCCCCCTTCCTTTTTAAATTTTAATTATTTATTTTTATGTGTATGGGTGTTTCGCCTACATGTATGTCTGTGCACTATTGCACACTTCCTCCAAGAGGAGGCCAGAAAAGGGCATCGGGGTCCCTAGGGTCTGGAGTCACAGACGGTTGTGAGCTGCCATGTGGTTGCTGGAAATTGAACCTGGGTCCTCTGGAAGAGCAGTCAGTGCTCCTAACCACTGAGCCATCTCTCCAGCCTAATGCTTACTCCGTTGGTGCCTCTATTTATGCAAGAATTCCTGACAATTTCTTACACCCATGCTGCCAGAGAAGGAGGCAGGCCCTCCCATCCTCTGGTCCTTCTTATCACTTTTCTTCCTGGCAGACAGCCGGGGCACAGGGCATGAGCTTGCCTGGGCACATTGTGTTAGGGTATAGTCACCAAAGCCAAAGGATTCCAAGGTTTTCTAGAACAAACTGACAAAGACAGATTTGTTATAGAATATACAAACTTGCTATATCAGAAAGATTATCCATGAAACTACCCATTAGGCCAGCATAATTCATTGTAGATGTATCCAACCTTCCCATCAAACAATAAACACAGAACCAATGCAAAGAAGAAAGCCAAGAGGTCAGAGCCAAGAGCCAAAACCTTACCCTTCCTCCTGCAGTGGTCCTACCTCTCCGAACCAGAGCTACCCCTGTGTTAAAGTCTTTATATAGAGTTCCTGTCCTGCCTTCTCATTGGTTGTAAACCCAACCACATGACCGCCTCCTCACAGCCTGTCTGTATAGGCCTCCAGGTTTTCCATGATTGGTATTAAGATTAAAGGCATGTGTATCCAATAATGGCTGTATCCCTGAACACACAGAGACTTACCCAGCTCTGCCTACTAAGTGCTGGAATTACAAGCGTACGCTACCACTGCCCTGCTTTCCTATGGCTTGCTAATAGCTCTGACCCCCGGGCAACTTTATTTATTAACATACAAATAACATTTTAATACAAATAAAATATCACCATATTTCCCCTTTTCTATTTTAATAAAAAGGAAAAAAAAGAAAAAGCTTATAATATAAGAAAAACTATATACAAAAGTACAATAACTATATACAATATATACAAGTAATAAATACCTAAACAATGTCTAGTCCATTTGTATTTGACAAATTCAGAGAAAATAATTTCATTATCTATCCTATTTTGGTAAGTCCAAAATGTATCCTAATTAATCTTCAACTATAACTAACTAACCTTCAACTATAACTAACTAATCTTCAACTCCCTCAGAGACCCAAGAAGGAAATAATATTAGCTAACAAAAATAAAAACAGGAAGTGCACATAAGCAACCTCCAAAAAATTTGTGAGTTGACAGAAACAGACAGCTGTCTGGACAGTCACCTGAGGTTTCTCCGAAGTGCTGGGGCATCATCTTCAGCCTATAGGCCCAGCATATCCGACAGACTCATTTGTGAAGCAGGATGTACACAAGGTCAACAGTTCAACCTCACATTGAGTGAGAGTAGTCCATGTACCAGAAACACCTGAATTCCACCAGTGTCATGTCATGATTCAGGATTTCAAATTCTGGAAATTGCTGATGGTTTTCCAACTCAGCTGTCCATTCTTCCTGGCTGTGTATATATGGCTTCATCTCAGCATCCCATTCTTCTCCATATCCCTCCATCAAATGCCAGTCTACTATTGAGAGGCGTGAGCTTAGTTACTCTTCAAGAATAACTGTTTCAGCTGCTGTTCCATTGCACATCAGAGGCCATCGGCCCACTGCCTGTTCAGCTGCCTTCGAAGAAAAGGGCACTGTACCTTTTTCGAATTGCGAAGGCCACTTCAGGGATGGTGCCATATTGTCCTGGCCTCTGAAGATGCCTTTAGATAAAGCCATAACCACACTTGTTTTGGCAAGAATCAGTAATCCTTTGTTTTATGTCCTGTTTGTCCATTTTGTCCTGTTGATTCGAGGATACTTTGTTGTCCAGTGGCTAACTTTTGCCACAATGAAAGTTAACTCCATATGCAGTTTCTTCAATGCCCATATTTTCTCTGAAGTAGATTGGTACTGCCAGGAGCCGACATGTCTCGTAGTCATAACAAAAAAGAAAAATTTTTCTAAGTTATTAAAACATTTTAAATGCCATATTCTGTAGATCTCTGAAGGG